GGCAATCTTCCTCCCCACCTCCTGCTAATGAAAGTACAGCCCATCTTAAGGTAAGGTATATCCACCTTAAGAAGATGAACAAAATGATTCCTTTTGTCCTGGTTAATGTTATTCTTTTCAAATTCACCTTTAAAGTAGAAAACTCCAGAGAGGTGTGACCTAAGCCCCCAACACCTTATCAGTGGGCAATCCAGAGAACCAGAGTCCCAAAAGGAGGGGCACATATATCCATCTCCCATCCTAACTTGTCTAGAGAAATGTAGAGGCCAAAAAAGAAGGGGTCTCTGGCATGGGCAGTTCTCAGCAGTTCAATTTAGCTCTCAAGAAGAGACTGGTGGAGTGGGACTTTAGCCTAGCAGGGAAGATGCTCATGTCTCTTATCGGAGTTCCTGGGTTCCATTCCCAGCCCCCAGCTCTAGCATCTTGCTAGTGCAGACCCTGGGAGGCATGGTGAGGACACAAGTGAAGTGGGTTCCGCTGCCCTTGTGAAAGATCTGCTCCCAGCCTCTGCACCTGCCCAGTCCTAGCCCTCATGGGCATTTGAGGAGTGAAGCAGTGGATGAAAGCTAGCTGTCTGCTTCTCAAATAAATTAAAAAAAAAAAAAAAAAAAAAGAGCTAGATTAAAATCTTGATTCACCACCTCATTTTCCCTCAAGTGTAAAACCTACGGGCCCCATTATCTGGCCTCCAAGAGCTACACCTTGGCTCCCTCCTAAGGCAGGTGCTATGGTGATAATTCTTGGAAGGTACAAGGTCAAAGGAGAAGTAGCAGCAAGGTTAGTTCCTTCCAGCCCCTCCCCCCCCACCACCCGCAGGTGGACAGAAGTCAGTTTAAGATAGCTCAGGGCTAAAGATAGCTTAGGACTGGGAAGGCGGATGTGGCGGGCACCCCACTCCACTCCTAAACGGGAGAAAGAAACTTCCAGTTCAGGGACGGGGCGGGGCTGGGCGGCGAGGGCAAAAGTCTCCAGGAGGGGGTGCGGTCCAATAGGGAGCAGGTGACCCAGCTCCTCTGACCCACTCACTCGGGAGGAGACACGTGGGCGTCCAGAAACGGCTGAGAGGCTGTGAACAATCAGAGAATTTACGTGGACTTGCAAACTAAGGCACGTAGGGGAGAAAAGAGTGTCGAGGGGGTGACGGGTGGGTGAGGGCTGATGGAGTCAGGTTAGGAGGGTCTCCAAATATCAGATGGTCGGGTGTGGACACCGTGTGAAGGATCTGGGGATCTGCCCACGATCCGGGGAGAACTCCGCGGGGGACGGCATGGTAGATAATAAAGGAGTTGAGCCGTGGGTTGATTGTTCTGGAAACCCGCAGGTGGAAATGGCGTGGGTGGGAGGCCAGGTGGCTGTTCCCGCGGGGGAACTAGAAGCGCCTTATAAATGGCGAAAATCGGGGTGTTGGAGGCTCAGGGTTCCGGGAGCTCTGCAGGGGCATGAGACGCCCCAAGGCGCCAGGTAGGGATGGGAGGAGCCACCGGGAGTTTAAGGAGGCTCGGAAGGCCCTGGCAGATTAGCTCTGGACTCGGGACCCGGCGGGCCTCACCGGAAGTATCGCTCCTCTTCAGCCTGCTCTCTCTTCCCGAAGGCCCCACCCGCTTCCCGGATGGAGCCCGCTTTCCCGTGGATATCCTCGGGCTGCGGAGAGAGACGGAGACATTGGTGAAGATGCGGCAGAGAGGGCAGATGGGGTCCGCCCTCAGGGCTGGGTCAGCGGACAGTGCCGCAGCATACCTTGTCCGAGACGAAGCCTCGGGTTTGTACGGCCCTCGCGCCCCACGTCCCGAGCCGCGCCCGCGCCACCAACGCGGAGCCTGCCATCACTATAACGCAGCACCCCGGGCGTCTCCGGTCTTGCAGCTTCTCTGGACGCGCTAAGCGCGAGGCTGGCCACGCAGCCAATCCGCTCAGTGGAGGGGAGGGATGAACGTAAGAATAACGAATCATGAGAGAGAGGAGGCGGGATCCCTGAGCTTCACAGCGAATTCTGAGTGAGGGGTGGGCCTTTTCGTAACCAATCGTTAACAAGGGCTTAGGGGCCAAAGGACTGCAGAAGACGGGTGGAGGAGACCGGGAGCATAAGGAGAGTGTCAGAACCCGGAATTTCGGCCCTCGGACCTGTCAGAATAAGGCGTGGCGTCCGCCTCCAACAACCCTAAAGTCATTATTAAAAACCAAAACCCAAAGCCAGCCTTCCCATTCCTGACCTACTAGCATCCTTAGATGGGGACTGTACGGCTTGAGGGAGCTGTATGTCTGTCGGATGCAGGCGCTTATATATATATATATATATATATATATATATATATATATATATATAATCATGTTGACGTCAGTGTTTGCTGAACTGGTTTCACTCTCGTCTCAGCCTTCTCAGAGACCCCGTCCTTGAGCTCGTTTGTCTAATCCCCCTGTGAAGTTATCAGACTGAAAACAGTCGGCAGTTAATATCTGCACCGTATATTGTTTATTATTTATTTATTTATTTATTTGAAAGTCAGAGTTACACACTAAGAAGAGAGGCAGAGAGAGAGAGAGATCTTCCATCCGATGGTTCACTCCCCAATTGGCTGCAATGGCTAGGGCTGCACCAATGCAAAGCCAGGAGCCGGGAGCTTTTTCCAGGTCTCTCATGTGGGTGCAGAGGCCCAAGGACTTGGGCCATTTTCTACTGCTTTCCTAGGCCATAGCAGAGAGCTGGATCGGAAGTGGAGCAGCCGGGTATCGAACTGGCATCCATATGGGTTGCTGGTGCTTCAGGCCAGAGCGTTAACCCACTGTGCCATAGCGCCAGCCCCATATATCATTGAATGTATTAATTCGTGGTCGAATGGGCTGGCCTGAGTGGAAAAGAGCACGAGTAGGAGTCTAGGGAAGGCCTCGCCTTGCTCTCCCTTCCTCCTTCGAATGCATACGACCGAGACCCTCCTCAGGACCATGTAGCACATCTTTGCCTGGGGGTGGGGTGGGGTCCAGTTTCTTCTGTAGATGATATGGTTGATCCAGATGATCTCATTCACGATCATAGAAATACCTTGTTCTTTTTTCTAAGGGTTATTTATTTTGAAAGTCAGAGTTAGAAAAAGAGAGCTCAATCTTCCATCCACCGGTTCACTCCCCAGATGGCCATCATGGCCAGCACTAGGCCAGGCTGAAACAAGGAGACAGGAGCTTCATCCAAGTCTCCCAAGTGGGTGCAGAGCCCCAAACACTTGGGCCATCTTCTGCTGACTTTCTTATTAGCAGGGAGCTGGATCGAAGCGGAGCAGCTGGGACTCCCAAATGGGATTCCAGCGTCACAGGAGGTGGCTTTACTCATCACGCCACAACATTGGCCCCTTCTTTGTTATTCTATGAAATAATAGAACTGAGTTTTAAACTTTTACTTATTTATTTGAGAAGCAGAATAAAGAGATAGAGGGGCCTCTCAACCACTGGTTCACTTCCCAGATGCCTGCAATAGCCCCTGGCTGAGTCTGAGGCCGGAAGCTGGAAACTCCAGGTTACCCACATGGGCGGCAGGGGTCCAATCATCTGAGCCATCACTCTGGCCTCCCAGGGTCCACACTAGCAGGAAGCCTGAATTAGGAGCTGGAGGAGGACGTTACTGAACCCCACAGGTGGCTTGACCACTAGACCAAACGCCTGCACCAGGAGATCTGGTTTTTATTGATCATCTTTAGGTTGGGAGAAGTGCTGTTGCTGATTTGTATGACTTAAATAGGACACATCTAGTGGGCACATTTTCACATGTCATGGCAGAGAAATGCCAACGCAGGATGGAAATAATAATCACTTATAAGCCCACTATCTACTTATAATAGTCTGGTGTGTTTCTAGATGATTAAATATCATTCCAGTTTCATAAACTGTAGTTCTCAGATACTGCTATTTCTTGTTATCTCCTAGGTTGAGAATCCAGTGGAAGATCCTGCTGTGGTTGTACAAAAGATCCATCCAGGCACTATGCTGCTATTATCATCCTAATAGTAATAGTAATAATGGAAAATGACAGCTGTTGGTGATGATGTAGAGAAACTGAAACCCTTGTACATTGTAAAGTGATCAGCCACTGTGGAAAACAGCTTGGTGACTGCTTTAAAAATTAGCCATAGAATTACCCTAAGACAGCAATTCTAGGGATATAACCCCCAAATTGAAATCAGATGCTCAAATACATGTGCATGCATGTTCGTAGGAACACTTATTCACAATAGGCAAAAGGTGGAAACAACCCAAGTGTCTATCAATTGATGAGTGGATAAACATACAGTGGACTGTGGTATAAACATACAGTGCAGGTGTAAATGTAACAGAGAACTGATACATACAACACTTTGGATAAACCTTGGAAAGGCTGTGCTGAGTGAGAGGAGCCTACACAAAATCACAAAATATCACATATTTTATGACTCCATTTATGCAAACTAGAATGGCAAAGCTCTAGAGAGACAGGACTCAGATTGGCTGTTAGGGGCTGGGAAGAATGGAATTTTGGACCTTTTTTTTTTTTTAAAGATTTATTTATTTTTCTATTTGTAAGCCAGAGTTACAGTGAGAGAGAGATAGAGGAGGGAGAACTTCCATCCGCTGGTTCCCTCACCAAATGGTCACAATGGCCAGAGCTGGGCCAGGCCAAAGAGAGGAGCCAGAACTTACTCTGAGTCTCTCACGTGGGTGCAGGGGCCCAAGTACTTGGGCCATCTTCCACTGCTTTCCCAGGTCATTAACAAGGAGCTGGATCCTAAGTGGAGCATCAGGTGCCCATATGGGACGCTGGTGCTGCAGACGTAGAGCCTGTTTATGAACCAGATAGAGGTGGTAGTGGCAAAACACTATGTACTAAAAGCCACTGAGTTTTTCACTTTACAGTGACTACTTATATGTTATGTGTATATCCCCTCAATTTTAATAAAAATTCCACTTAGATGACTGGGCTGGGCTGGGCTGCGAGCCCTTTAAGGTTCGTTTTGAAGGGGCGGGGCTAGGGGCGGGCCTGTGAAAATCACGTGAGGCGGCGCCTGCGCAGAAGGGTCACGTGGTGGCTGGGCCGGGGAAATGGCGGCTTCAGGAGAGAGTGGGGCTTCGGCCGGCGGAGGCAGCACAGAGGAAGCTTTTATGACCTTCTACAGCGAGGTGAACACAGAATGGGGACTAGTGGCACCGGAACGACCCCGCTCCGGCCTACGTCCCTAGTGGGCGGAGATGGGGCTTCCTGGCGTGGACCGTTGGGCGGCTCTTGCTGTCCGGCCTGCGGGGCAGCGGGGGCTGGGAGTGCGTGTACGTGCGTGCGTCGGCCACCGGCAGCCGCTGGGGCATCCCCGGGGTCACGGAAGAGGGACCGGTGGCTGGCGTTTGGAGGGAACCGGCGAGCGTGGCCGAGGAGGTGCCTGGGCGCAGGAGAGTGACCTCACGACGCGCAGTCGCGGGATGGCAGAGGCTGGGCCCTTCCTTGGGGGGGTGGCTTAGCTGTCTTGGCCCCCGGCTTTATTCCACACAGAACGATCTCTTTTCTGAGTACTGTGTACTGAGTCGTGTTAGGGCTTAGTTCTGCGATTCACGCACGCTGAGCGTGCATCACGACAGGTAGGCATTATGTTACCCCATTTTGCAGGCTGCCAGCCTGAGATGTAGGATGGTGGGGTCGTCTAGGGTCTTGTTGTCGGGCAGCGTAGGAGTAAGTTTGGTCCAAGCCCCGTTTACTGTCGCCTGTCCCGCGCCTGGTGGGTGCTCGGTAACTATGTGTTGAGTTAGTGAAGGTAAAAGCAGTTTCAGGCTCAGTTCTTGCTGGCACTTACTTGCTTGGGAAATTTTGCGCATTTCCATGTCTGTGGAATGAGAGAGTTCGTATTAAAACCGGAGTTTTAATGAGAATTAAAGGAGCAAATGCGTCAGCGAGCGTTTCATGAAATACAAAACAGTTAAAAGAAGGCTAAGGTGGGGCCTCTAAGTTGGCGTGGACGGAGGAGTGGGTGGAAACTACCCCCAGGTGAGCTCGCCAGGGCCGTGAGCTGCTGTGTCGCTGGTATTTCTAACAGTGCTCGTTACATAGTTTCTCCAAAGTATTCAATTTAAAAATGGCACCTAGCATGTCCTTTGTGGTCTCTCCTTTTGAAGTAGTTGAGTCACTGGAAAATGTTGATGCCATGGTACCAAAGGTTATTGGCTTCTAATGACTTAGCAATTATAGGGGAGCTGGTTTTACCCATCCTCTCTTAGTTTAGAACAACGTTTAGTTTGTTTCACATGGATGGGAGAAAGTTCCCCAGAAGGAATCTCCCATCAGTATCCATGGAATGTTTATTGGGCACTTGATTTGTACTGTGCTGTTGAGGTGTTTGGGGTGTGGTAGTGAACAACAGAAAAAAAAATCCTGCCTTCATAGAACTTGTGTTCTCGAGGAAGCCATAAATAACCAGCTCACAGGATAGTGTCAGTAGTGATGAGTGTGAGGAGGAGGAAAATCAGGTTTGGGACAGAGGATAGAGCATATTTTAGAAAGTGAAAGTTCTGGGAAGGAGTGACTCTTCACGTGTTTGAAGTTTTTTCTGACCTTGTTTTGGCCATGGCTTTAAAGGTGCCCTACAATGCAGCAGAGGGTCCTAATAACTCGCTCTCCTACTCCGGCAGGGACACCAAGGATGCTTTTTGGGATTATCTGCTGTTTGTTCTCCTTGGCATTGTCTTCAGGTCAAGGCTTTTTTTTTTTTTTTTTGACAGGCAGAGTGGACAGTGAGAGAGAGAGACAGAGAGAGAAAGGTCTTCCTTTGCCGTTGGTTCACCCTCCAATGGCCGCCGCTGCAGCCGGCGCACCGCGCTGATCCGATGGCAGGAGCCAGGATCCAGGTGCTTTTCCTGGTCTCCCATGGGGTGCAGGGCCCAAGCACCTGGGCCATCCTCCACTGCACTCCCTGGCCATAGCAGAGGGCTGGCCTGGAAGAGGGGCAACCGGGACAGAATCCGGCGCCCCGACCGGGACTAGAACCCGGTGTGCCGGCGCTGCAAGGTGGAGGATTAGCCTATTGAGCCACGGCGCCGGCTTTTTTTTTTTTTTTTTTTTAAGATTTATTTATTTATTTGAAAGAGTTACACAGAGAGAGGAGAGGCAGAGAGAGAGAGGGAGGGAGGGAGGGAGGTCAGTCCATCCTCCATCCGCTGGTTCACTCCCCAGATGGCTGCAGTGGCCGGGGCCTGAGCCAATCTGAAGCCAGGAGCTTCTTCCCGATTGCAGGGGCCCAAGGATTTGGGCCATCTTCTACTGCTTTCCCAGGCCATAGCAGAGAGCTGGATCAGAAGTGGAGCAGCCAGGTCTCCAGCTGGCACCCATATGGGGTGCCAGTGCTTCAGGCCAGGGCATTAACCCATTGAGCCACTGAGTGGGCCCCAAGGTCAAGGCTTTTTCTAACTCTGTCAGTTAAGTAGTTTGCTCCCTCACACAGCAGTTTATTTAAGAAGAAAAGGTGGCAGGGGTGGGGTGGGGATTCACTTATTTATTTATTTGAGAGGCAGGGTGACAGAAAGAGGGAGAGACAGATCAATCTGCATCTGTTGGCTCACTCCCAAAGTGATACCTCCCCTGGAGTCAAGACTGTTGGGGTTAAGATTTGAGTTTACAGGTTAGGTAAACCAGTTAACCTCTCTATGCCTCAGTTTGAGACTAACCGATACGATAAAGTTCTTTTTTTATTTATTTTTTTTTTGACAGGCAGAGTGGACAGTGAGAGAGAGAGACAGAGAGAAAGGTCTTCCTTTGTCGTTGGTTCACCCTCCAATGGCTGCCGCTGCCGGCGCGCCGCGGCCGGCGCACCGTGCTGATCCGATGGCAGGAGCCAGGAGCCAGGTGCTTTTCCTGGTCTCCCATGGGGTGCAGAGCCCAAGCACTTGGGCCATCCTCCACTGCACTCCCTGGCCACAGCAGAGGGCTGGCCTGGAAGAGGGGCAACCGGGACAGAATCCGGCACCCCAACCGGGACTAGAACCTGGTGTGCCGGCGCCGCTAGGCGGAGGATTAGCCTAGTGAGCCGTGGCGCCGGCCAGATAAAGTTCTTATATATCAGGTTGCAATAAATGGTGGCTCTTTAATTATCCTTTAAAATGCTTAGCAAAATATATTGCATATGATAGACACCCAAATAATTGTTTGCTGAATATGCCAGTGAATGTTGTATTAAAGGAGACAGTTCCACTTTATTATGGAGCTTTACTAATGAAGCTTTTAATCCTCTTAATTTTAGGTGAAACAAATAGAGAAGAGAGATTCAGTTCTTACGTCCAAAAATCAGATTGAAAGGTTGACGCGTCCTGGTTCCTCTTACTTCAATTTGAATCCATTTGAGGTAAGCTGACTGATGTTGTTCTGCCTGTGTGGTGGGGAGCTTTTTGTGGCAGCACACAGACTAATACCACAGCACACACCTGGCTTCTAGCATAGCTGGAACTGAATGGATTCCAGCTGTGGACTGTGATGGAGTCTGTGTAATGGTTAGGTTGGTTTTATTGTGAGCAGAGTTGGAAAGGCAGCATGGTAAGAGAAATTAGCTGATCTTTGCCCCGTCACGTGTTCTCCATTGACTTGTAGCAACCCAAATGCACAAGGGTTTCTTTTCAGATGTGAAAATGTAGCTCTTGGTACCTTTAGGTTCTGGTTTAGGCTGCTTGTTAAGACTTTTAGTTTCATAGCAATACGAAAAACAGCAAATACCCAACAACAACAAAACAAAGATCATAAGATTTTAGACAAGGGAACACATTATTTGATTTCCTTAATTTTATCACTTTACACTTTTCCTGATGATAAAAGTCATTTTTATATGAAACTTTAAATACTGAGAAAAGAATACTTGTGTATACACTCACCTAAGAGAAATAGCCTCTCCTATTTATACTCTCTTCTATTTAAAACCAAGAGAATCATACCCTTCGAGTCTTTTTTTTTTTTTTTTTTTTTTTTTTTAAGATTTATTTATTTGAAAGAGTTACAGAGAGGTAGAGGCAGAGAAAGGTCTTCCATCTGCTGGTTCACACCCCAAAAGGCTGCAACGACCAGAGCTGCGCCAATCTGAAGCCAGGAGCCAGGAGCTTCTTCCAGGTCTCCCATGTGGGTGCAGGGGCCCAAGGACTTGGGCCATCCTCCACTGCTTTCCCAGGCCATAGCAGAAAGCTGGATTGAAAGTGGAGCAGCTGGGATTTCAACAGGTGTTCGTATGGGATGCCGGCACTGCAGGTGGCAGCTTTACTTGCTATGACAGCACCAGCCCTGCCCTGCTTCAAGTCTTTAAATGCTATATTGCTACAGAAAATGTTTTCCTGCAACATTTAAAAAAGTCTATATAATGCATTTAATCAGTTCTTTTAGTGTGGAGTATTTACACTAACCTCTGCTCATGTTCATAAGTGATTTTGAAATCAGTAGTTACATCTCAAAAATAAGTCATTGAGCACTTATCACCTTCTATGCTTTTTCTTTACCTTTTTTTAATGTGGGAAAATATATATAACATTACCATTTTAGTCATTTTTAGGTGTACAGTTTAGTGGTGTTAAGTACATTTCCCAGTGTTGTGCAGCCATCATTACTGTTCATTTCTAGAACTTTCTCAGCACTCTAAATAGTAACTCAGAACTTAATAAACAAATACTCCCTTTCCCACCCCACTGCTGCTCTTGGTGATCTCTAGTCTGTTTTTTTGTCTCTGAATTTGCCTATTTAAGTACCCTATATTATGATATCATGTGATATTTTTCTTTTCGTTTGGCTTATTTCACTTGGCATGATTTCAGAGTTCATTATTTCTGGTCTTTAATTTTTCAAGGATGTTTTTCATTTTGAAACAAACTCAGATTTACAAAAATTTTCAAATACAGTAGAAGACTTTCCCTTGAACTATTTAAGAATTTGTTGTCGATATGGTTGATCAGCCTGACATTCTATAGTGTGGTTTTCCTGCAAATTACAGTATGTTGATCAAAGTCAGGAAATGAACATTGATAACATTCCTTTATCGATTCATTGTTCCATCCTTAATCACATTAGAATGTCAGCAGCTGTCCCAGTTTTGCCTTTTGTGGTGGAGGGAACCAGTCCAGGATCTCCTGTTCAGCCTGGTTGTCAGGCCTCTGGTCTCCTTCAGGGTGTAATGCTTCCTCAGTCTCCCTTGACTCAGGACCTTGAGGCGTCTGAGGATTAAAGGCCAGTTACTTTGTAGCATGTCTCAACTTGGGTTGTCAGATCTTTCCTGTGTCAGGTTCAGTCCCTGCAGTGTTGACAAGAATATTACAGAGGTGATGTTAGCGTTGTGTTTATCATCCATGAAGTGGTAGATGGTTTTGATTTATTCCATTACTGTGAGGTGAACTTGATCACTTACAAAAGAGGTTTCTTCCAGATTTTTTTTTTTTTTTTGAGATGTATTTATTTATTTGAAAGGCAGAGACACAGAGAAGGAGAGAGAAAGATCTTCCATTCTCTGGTTCACTCTCCAAGTAGCCACAATGTCCAGGGCTGGGCAAGGCCGAAGCCAGGAGCCTGGAGCTTCTTGCAGGTGTCCCTCTTGGTTGCAGGGACCCAAGGGCTTGGGCCATCTTTCACTGCTTTCCCGGGCCCATTAGCAGAGAGCTGGATAGGAAGTGGAGCAACTGAGTCTCAATTGGCGTACATATGGGATCTGGCACTGCAGGCAGAGGCTTAACCTCTGCCACAACGCTGACCTCCCAGATTGCTTCTGCAAGGTACTTTCCCCTGATTTGTAGGAAGTATTTTATGGGGAGATACGTGGAAAATATGTAAATATCCTGTCTGTGTAAAAGTTTTAGTTTATTCCTTTATTTATCCATATGGATTTGGGGTTCTCTATTTCACTCACTGAGTTGTAAGATTTATTTTATTTATGTGAAAGGCAGAGTTACAGAAAGAAGGAGAGACAGATCTTCCATCTGCTGGTTCATTCCCCAGTTGGAAGCAATGGCCAGGGCTGGTCCAAGCCGAAGCCAGGAGCCAGAAGCCTGCTCCAGGTCTTCCATGTGAGTGGCAGGGGCCCTGACACTTGAGCCATCTTCCCTGCCTTCCCAGGCACATTAGCAGGGAACTGGATTAGAAGTGGAGCAACAAAGACATAAACCAGCACCCATATGGGATTTTTGCATTTCAGGTTGTGGCTTAACCTGTTACGCCATAACACCAGCCCTCACTGAGTTATAATTCAGCATTTCTTCTCTTTCTTCCTTTTATTTTATTTTTTGACAGGCAGAGTGGACAGTGAGAGAAACAGAGAGAAAGGTCTTCCTTTTGCCGTTGGTTCACCCTCCAATGGCTGCCATGGCCGGCGCGTGGCCAGCGCACCGCACTGATCCAAAGGCAGGAGCCAGGTGCTTCTCCTGGTCTCCCATGGGGTGCAGGGCCCAAGCACTTGGGCCATCCTCCACTGCACTCCCTGACCACAGCAGAGAGCTGGCCTGGAAGAGGGGCAACCGGGACAGAATCCGGCACCCGGACTGGGACTAGAACCTGGGGTGCCGGCGCCGCTAGGCGGAGGATTAGCCTGTTGAGCTGCGGCACCGGCCTATTTTTTTTTTTTTTTTTTTTAATATTTATTTTGTTTATTTGAAAGAGAGGCAGAGACAGAGAAACTTGAAGTGTAGTCCCTCCCCCCCACCACCACTTTTTTATTGTGGTAAAATACAACAGAATTTATCATCTTAACTATTTAATTTAGAAAAAATTTTTAAAGGATTTATTTTTATTTGAAAGGTGGAGTAACAGAAATCTTCCATCCTCTTGTTCACCTCCCAGTGGGCTGCAGCAGCCAGGACAAAGGCCTGAGCCTGGAACTCCTAGGTCTTCCACATGGGTGGCAGGGGCCCAGGCACTTGGCTCATTTTCTGCTGCCTTCTGAGTTACATTAGGGAGCTAGATCAGAAGTGGAGTGATGAGAATTTGAACCAGCCTCACTCTGATATAGGATGCCAGCATCACAGGCAGTGGCTTAACCCACATCACCACAACATTGTTCCTATCATCTTAACCACTGTTAAGTATACAGTTCAGTGGGAGTTTGTTTTTTAAAGGTTTATTTATTTGAGGTCAGTGGTATGGCGTAGTGTTCGAGTTCCGACTGCTTCACTTTTGATCCACTTCCCTGCTAATGGCCTGGGAAGGCAGTGGAAGATGGTCCTTGGGCCCTTGTACCCACAAGGGAGACCCAGAAGAAGCTCCTAGCTTGAGACTAGCCTGACTCTGGCCATTGCAGCCATCTGGGGAGTGAATTAGTGGATGGAAGCTCTCTCTCTCTAACTCTAACTTTCAAAATAAATAATTAAAAAAAAATTATTTGAAAGGCAGTTATACAGAGAGGGAGCGAGAGAGAGAGAGAAACATCTCCATCTACCAATTCATTCCCCAGATGGCTGCAGTGGCCAGTGCTGGGCCAGACTGAAGCTAGGAGCCAGGAGCTTTATCTGGGTCTCCCATGTGGGTGGCAGGAGCCCAAATTTGGGCCATATTTTGCTGCTTTCCTAGGTTCATTATTAGGGAGCTAGATCATAAGTGGAACAGTTGGGACATGAACTGGTGCCTATATCGGGTGCAGGTGCTTCAGGTAGAGGCTTAACCCGTTACACCACAGCACTGGCCTCTTCTGTTTCTCTTTAAGGATTTTATTGGGGCCGGTGCTGTGGCGTAGCTGGTGGAGCTGCCGCCTGCAGTGCTGGCATCCCATATGGACACCTGTTTGAATCCTGGCTGCTGCAATTCTGACCCAGCTCTCTGCTATGGCCTGGGAAAGAAGTAGAAGATGGCCCAAGTCCTTGGGCCCCTGCACCCACGTGGGAGACCTGGAAGTAGCTCCTGGCTCCTGGCTTTGGATCGGCATAGCTCTGGCCATTGCAACTAATTGGGGAATGAATGGATGGAAGATCTCTCTCTACCTCTCTTTCTCTCTCTCTGTAACTCTTGACTTTCAAATAAATAAATAAATCTTTAAAGGAAAAGATTTTACTTGTTATTTATTTTCAAGGCAGAGTTACAGAGAGAGAGGGAGACACAGAGATAGACCTTGCATCAACTGGTTCACTCCCCATATTGGCTGCAACAGTCAGGGCTGGGCCAGGCCAAAAGCAGGAACTTGGAACTCCATCTGGGTCTCCCTCATGAATCTAGGGGCTCAAGTACTTGGGTCATCTGCCACTGCTTTCCTGGGTGCATTAGCAGAGAGCTGAATCAGAAGTGGAACAGCCAGGACTTGAACCAGCACTCTGCCAGCATGGGATGCCAGCTTTGCAAGTGGCAGCTTAGGCTACTGCTCCACATCGCTGGCCCTAGTGGTTTCTGTTTTTTCTGTAGTATTTATTGAGACACCTCAGTGAATCCAATTTCCTTTCACAGGGAAGCTGGTTTTTTTCTGGTAAGGAGAGGCAGTCCAGTGATAGCTGTCCCCCTAGCCATCATGTAATAATTTGAATAGTCTACCTATACCCACCTCGCTCAGCAGCAGGGGTACAAGGAAGAAGTTAGAGTAGGACTCCGAGTAGTCCTATAAAGGAGTCCTTACCCAGGGAGTTGTGTGTGTGCATGTGTTTTCCTTCTTGCCGCCTCTTCAGCTCCCTGTGTGGTCACGTTTCTAACTGTTGGCCATTATGTAATCAGCTGTCCTGTGTGTTCTGCTGTTACTTTTATGTTAAGAGCCCTCCCTACTTCCTTAAGTTTAGATGAGCCTGGGTCCCCTGCTCAATTCTCTCTTCTTTATATTATTTTAAAAATATATATTATTTATTTATTTAAAAGGCAGAGTGACAGAAACAGGGAGACACAGGTACAGAAAGATCTTCTGTCTGCCTGTTCGCTCCCCAAATGACCACAGCAGCCTGGGCTGGGCCAGGCCAAAGACAGGAGCCAATAACTCCATCCTGGTCATCCACATGAGTGGCAGGGGCCCAAGTATTTGGGTCATCTTCCACTGCCTTCTCAGGTGCATTAGCAGGGAACTGGATTGGAAGCAGAGTAGCCAGGACTTGAACTGGGTTTCCATTATGGGATGCTGACATCACAAGTAGTGGCTAAACCTGCTAAACCACAAAACCAGCTTCTCTGTTCCTTTTTTTGATTTAACTTATAAGGCTCCAGCAGGTAGCACCATAGACTGTCATTTTCAGCACCTTGATCCTAAGGTGTATAAACAGGGCTTTGGAACTTGCAGGTTATTAAGAGGTACACGTATGCCTCAGACTGGATTCCTGTTTCAAGCAGATCTCAGAGGAGACCACTGTTACAGTTGACTTAAGTTCAGGAACTTATCTGAATGCTACAATATTTTTGTTTCTGTGTGATGATTAATTATCCTTTTGAGATCCAAGACTGTGGAAGTCATTGCTGATCTGCAAAGGGTGAGATACAGTAGGAGTTGAGAAAAACCTTCCAAGGGCCAGCGCCACGGCACAGTAGTTTAATCCTCTGCCTGTGGCGCTGGCTTCCCATATGGGCGCTGGTTCTAGTCCTGGTTGCTCCACTGCTCCAGCTGTCTGCTATGGCCTGGGAAAACAGTGGAAGATGGCCCAAGTCCTTGGGTCTCTGCACCCACGTGGGAGACCAGGAAGAAGCTCCTGGCTCCTGGCTTTTGATTGGCGCAGCTCTGGCCATTGCAGCCATTTGGGGAGTGAACCAATGGAAGGAAGACCTTTCTCTCTCTCTCTCCCTCTCACTGTCTGTAATGCTACCTCTCAAATAAAATCTTTTTTAAAAAAAGAAAAAGCTTCCAAGAATCTGGACAGACCTATGTGTTTCTTCAGAGCCATTTTGGTACTACAGCAATTTTATATTGGTCAGAATTACTTGTTACTTGGGACCAGCACTGCGGCGTAGTGGGTTAAAGCCCAGGCCTCCAGTGCTGGCATCCCATCTGGGCGCAAGTTTGAGTCCCAGCTGCTCCATTTCCAATCCAGCTCCCTGCTAATGTGCCTGGGAAAACAGTGGAGGATGGCCCCAGTCCCTGGGCCCCTGCCACCCATCTAGGAGACCCTGAAGAAGCTCCTGGCTCCTGACTTCAGATCAGCTCAGCTCCGGCCATCGCAGTCATTTGGGGAGTGAGCCTGCAGATGGAAGACCGTTTTCTTTTCTCTACCTTTCTCGGTAACTCTGTCTTTCAAATAAATAAAAAATCTTTAAAACAAATTATTTGTTACTTGTCTGTCCCTTGTGTATTAGACTTTAAATTCCATGAGAACAGCAGTGAGCACAGTGTCTGCCAGCGTTAGGTGCTCCAGAAGTTTGTACTGAACATGTAAAGCTGGTGTCAAAGAAGTTTGGGCCCCAGGTATAAACCCGGTATCTTCACTGTTTGATACCTACTTGTGGCACCTTTAAATCTTAAAGACAGAAAAGGCATTAGCTCAGCTTTAAAGGCACTCATTATTTGTTGCCATTGATTAGTGGACATCTGATAAAACTTTCAGTAAAATGACTTTTGATTTATGTATACATATACTTTCCCATGATCCCCTCAGTCATGTCAAAGTAAGCTACAGACCTTGTGATGGTAAAAGCCTGCACACTTTGGCATTCATTTTTTCCAAAAACAAAAACTGTCTTTCATGTAGCTACAGCATCACTACCAGGTTTAGAAAAAACATTATTGGGGCTGGCGTTTTGGCCTGGCCCAGTCTCGGCTGTTGTGGCCATTCGAGGAGTAAACCAGTAGATGGAAGGACTCGTTCTCTCTCTCTGTCTCTCTGTCTCTGTGTCTTCCTCTCTATGTAACTTTGACTTTGAAATGAATAAATCTTGAAAACAAAAACACCCACATTATTTAGATGATGTCATCCAGCATCATTTAATCCAGTTTACACTCAAATGGTCCCAGTTGTCTCCAGATACCTCCTTTATAGCTATTTTTAAATAATGTTTTAAATATCCACTTATTTTCATGTAGAGTGATGAAGAGGGAGAGAGCTTACATCTACTGTCCACTCCACAAATGGCTACAACAGCCCAGGCTGCACCAGGCTGAGCCAGGAGCCTGGAACTCCACCTGGATCTCCTCTATGGGTGGCTTAGCAGGAAGCTAGATTGGAAGTAGAGTACCTGAGACTCAAGCTGGCGCTCCTGTATGGGATGCAGGTGTCCCAAGTGATGGCTAACCCACTGTACCTCTCACCTCATTGCTGTTTTTCTTTAAAGGTTTATTTGAAAGTCAGAGTGACAGAGAGATTTTGTTTGTTCACTCTGCAAATGACTGGGACTGCTGGGCCTGGGCCAGGCTGAAGCCAGGAACTCCATTCCTAACCTCCATCTCTTTTCTTTTCTTCTTCTGAGAGAGAGACAGAGAGAAAGGTCTTGACAGAGTTAGACAGTGAGAGAGAGAGAGAGAGAGAGGCTTTCCCTTTTCCGTTGGTTCACCCCCCAAATGGCTGCTGCTGCCGGCACCAGGAGCCAGGTGCCTGGTCTCCCATGCGGGTGCAGGGCCCAAGCACTTGGGCCATTCTCCACTGCACTCCCTGGCCACAGCAGAGAGCTGGCCTGGAAGAGGAGCAACCGGGACAGAATCCGGCGCCCCGACCGGGACTAGAACCCGGTGTGCCGGCACTGCAGGCGGAGGATTAGCCTAGTGAGCCACGGCGCCGGCCACTTAATGCTTCTTTTAAAACTTTTAAAGTACATTTTCTTTGCTATAAACAACTTTAATCGTCATTTCTTAGTAGTGCTTCTCAAACTTTAATGTGATGCAGATCACCGGAGGATTTTTTTGAAACACTTACGCCGTGGTCCCTTTCCATCCCTGCTGGTAGACTGGCTTTTAGATCAGGTTGAGGAAGGATGCATGGTTTCTAGTTCTCCTTGATTGCACTGATGTTTGAGGGAAGAGGGAGGGGCTCATGTGGTTCTTACGTGAATGCTGAGTTACACCTATGCCTTCAGAAAAGCACACATACGTGTACAGCTCAGTGGATAGTCTCCAAATGTGCATACTCATCTTTTGATGAAAAAATTCTTTATAGGTGAAAGAACGAAAAAAACAGTTAAAGAAGGAAGGAAAACCTACAAATGTAGAGGAGGATGATCCTGAGCTGGTGAGTTCAGCATGAGCAAAGGCAGCTTGGCTGTGTGATCGGGAGTGCTGGTTGGTGGTGAGAGAGCAGAGCTGAAAGAATGCCGAGTGTGTGCTGGGAACATTTCATTCGGACACAAAACACGAAATGTGCGTTCATCCACTTCTTATGTAGGGCTGTTGCATTTCCTTTGCCATGTGTGTCCACTGATTGAAGTTTGCAGCTGACCATAAGTCATACACACAATGTGATTGTTTCTACCCTCAATTTCTTTTGAGATTCATTGAAAACTTAGGTACTGGTGAAGCAAACCAAGAGCAGAATCTACTTTTCTATGTCTTACCTGCATTTCATTCAACCACAGTTATTTTTAGGGACTTATGTTTATTGAATCTTTCAAAGCAACAGCAAATGCTATAACCACATCTGTAAATCTCTGTGGTATGTTAAATTACAGAACCATAATGGTAATTGCCACTGGCATGGCTAGCTTTGGGAATAACCCAGCTGACTCTTGGTGAGCAGACCCCTGCCAGCTAGTGGTCACACTCCAGGTGGTGTTTTATAGAGGCAGTGGTTAGTCCCACGGGTTCTTTAGTAGGGATTGGTTAAGTGAGGTTTGACTTTAATATTTGTGTCTGATTGCCTCAATAGACTGGAAAAGTTTAAAGTTTTCTTAAATCTTAGCAATTATCCTGATGTGACTTACAGAGTGACTGTTGTAGGGAAACATCCTTGCGACTTCTTGCTGCAGTGACTGCCAGCAGCAGGTGGTCCCCTCTAGGGGAGGGCAGGGGGCTGACTGCTTGAGAAGTGTTAGGCGTTCCACTGTTAGGGGTCCGCTGCCTTCCGAAGTTCAGTGTTTTCTCCTCAGCCTGTTTCCCCGTTCCTTCAGCCATCTGCTTTATCACAGATACTCCTTGACCCTCTGATAAGAACGCCAACTTTTTTTTAGTTGTGTTTCTTCCTGATTATAAGTATGTACTTATATTTTCTTTTGTTCTTAATTCTCTTACAGTTCAAACAAGCAGTATATAAACAGACCATGAAACTCTTTGCTGAGCTGGAAATTAAAAGGAAAGAAAGAGAAGCCAAAGAGATGCATGAAAGGTACATATCTGCATATTCGTTTTTAAAAAATTAAATTATTGTTAATTTTTATTTATTTGAAAGGGAGACAGAAGGAGATGGACAGACAGATGTCTTATCTGCTGGTTCACTCCCCAGTGCTTCTCATAACAGCTGAGACACAGCCAGGCTGAAGCCAGGAGCCAGGGACTCAGTCTGGGTCTCCCATGTGGGTGGCAGGAACCCAGTCCCTTGAGCTGTCACCTGCTGAGTGTGCATTCACAGGAAGCTGGAATGGAGGGCCGAGCTGGTAGCTGAATCTCGATTCTCTGATATGGAATGTGGGCATCCCAAGTGGCACCTTCTGCTACGCCCAATGTCCATCCCATGTCTGAATACCTAGATTAACGAATGTTGGTCTTTGGGGGTTCTCCTGATGAAGGAATTAGATAATACATCATTTCAGAGACTGTCTAAAATAGTTACTGCAATAGCCAAGGTTTTGAATCACGAAGGTAAGAAGTTTTCTTTGATTTTTGGGAAATACTGACTAGCTCTGTCCTTGGGGAGTTTGTTTATCCTTAGGAGGGCTGTGTGTTTTCTTCCAGACTGTCTGAAATAAAGTAGGCAGAGTTATTGAGGCCAGGACTTCCTGGGGAACTGGGGGCTGCAGCTCTGATGAATGTGTAGGGCTGTTCTGTGTGGTCACTTAGAAAAGGGTTACTGCTCTAAAGCAGAGTTCCCTTGATGGTCAGAAATGTTGAGGTTGGTTTGATTTCAGTGTTTTGTATTGTTAGCATTTAGTACTAACTAGATTTTTGTAGTTGTGTGAAACATCGTTGTTTTAAGATAGAGTTGGGGGCTGGCACTGTGGCATAGTGGGTAAAGCCACCACCTGCAGTGCCAGCATCCCTTAGGGGCGCCAGTTTGAGACCTAGCTGCTCCACTTCTGATCCAGCTCTCTGCTATGGCCTGGGAGAACAGTAGAAGATGGCCCAAGTCCTTGGGCCCTTGAACCCGCATGGGAGACTTGGAGGAAGCTCATGGCTCCTGGCTTCGGAGCGGTGCAGCTCCGGCTGCTGCAGCCAATTGGGGAGTAAACCAGTAGATGGGAGCCTCTCTCTCTCTGTAACTCTGACTTTAAAATAAATAAGTAAATCTTTAAAAAAAAAAAAAAAAAGATAAGGTTGGGGGGCTTGTGCTGTGGTGTAGCCTGTAAAACTGCCACCTGCAGTGCCAGCATCCCACATGGGCGCCAGTTCGAGTCCCAGCTGCTCCACTTCCGATCCAGCTCTCTGCTATGGCCTGAGAAAGCAGTAGAAGATGGCCCAAGTCCTTAGGCCCCTACACCCGTGTGGGAGACCCAGAGGAAGCAGAGAGAGAGAGAGATGTCTTCCATCCACTGGTTCACTCCCCAGATGGCCACCACGACCAGAGTTGCACCGATCCAAAGCCAGGAGCCAGGAGCTTCCTCTGGATCTTCCCTGAGGGTACAGGGGCCCAAGGACTTGGACCTTCTTCCACTGCTTTCCCAGGCCACAACAGAGCTGGCTGGTATTTGGACAGTTGTCTTCGATCTGAGACCCTTATGGAAGGCAGGAGCAGGCCTCGGCGCGTCGCCCATGAGTCCGGAGTTCGGTGTGGTCGGCTTAGTCATTGCAGGGATCAGTCATTACCCGTGAGCTGCAGGGTCTGTGGAACAATTACTC